CAACACAGGGATTATACATACTAAAACACTAACAACACAGGGTTTATACATACTAAGACACTAACAACACAGGGATTATATATACTAAGACACTAACAACACAGGGATTATACATACTAAGACACTAACAACACAGGGATTATACATACTAAGACACTAACAGCACAGGGATTATACATACTAAGACACTAACAACACCGGGATTATACATGCTAAAACACTAACAACACAGGAACAAACATACCAAGACACTAACTGCACAAGGATTGTACATACTAAGCCACAAGCACGGTCCCAGTACAGAAACCTGAGGGACACCATTTACCACTTTTGTCCAACTTGAAAATGTACCATTTATGACAACTCTCTGTACTCTATCTTTGAGCCAATGTTCTACCCAAGAACAAGAATTTTCATCAAGGCCAATTTCTTTTAGTTTGAACGCTAACCTATTGTGAGGAACCATATCAAATTCCTTGGCACATTCCAGCCAATCAGCAGCAGACCCTCCCTCCCAGACCCTCCCACCTCCTGGACAGCATCCATTGGTCAAAGTTTATGATGAGTCCGTGGCGAACCGTTCGTGGCGAACCGTTCGTGGTGAACCGTTCGTGAACCGTTCGGCGAACAGTTCGGGACATCACTATTCCTGACTATTATCATTTAATAACTCCTCAAAAACTTACACCAAGGATTTATGGTTTACAGGTTAAACTATTCTGTCAGTGACTTATGATGTGTTTTACTTTGCACTCATTGGCTTGTAATGTGTGTTCCTGTGCTGTTAGCTTTCACAATGCTTTCGCTGTCAGAAATAAGAGATAAGAACCCTCCTTCCATCTTTTATCGTTAGTACTGAGAATGAAGCCTTGGAGTTTGATCTCCAATGGTTTCTGTCCGGTGTGAGTGGAGTATAAGGAGAGTGCATTTACAGTCTACCTGCAGAGAGGTAGAAGGACTCAGAGGAATTTAATTTCTCTGCAGGGTAAAGACTGTGGCTGGAGCAAAGGTAAAAAGTACACAGAGTTCTATGCGTTACATAAATTTTTCAACGAGTTGCATACAAAGCAGAAGTTAGCCTGTGTAAATATAATTTGGGAGGAAAGGGATTTCTATAAATTTATTATATTGGAGCACAAGATAATTAGACATGAAATACAATTTAATAATGCAGACTGTTTTTTCGTTCCTTTTATTTACTTTAACATATTTGATCAAAATACAGAATATAAACATTATTTCTCTTGTTTTGCCTTATGTGTCATCTAGTATGACACTTGTTCTTTTGGCTGGACATTGCTAACGCCCTATTCCTAAAGCCTTGTTTAAGCAATAATTGTATAATGAAAGGCTTATTGATGCTGGGGAGACTAGATATAAATGTCCTGCGCATGATCTTACATTGACCATTTGAAAGAGGTTCTGATTGATGGCCCTGGTTAAGTGAGTTCTACATAATGTAGAGCAAAGTAACTGATTTTTCTCCCTGACAAATCTTGTCTATATTTTATGTGAACCAAATGATTCTTCTCACGGCGGGTAATCACAGAGTCATCCACACAGTCTCCGCATCTCTCGTCTATTATTGGCAAACACTTTAAGGCCAAGCTAACTGTTCGGCTTGGAGTCTGTTGTACACAGTGGGGATTTTTATTGATTTTTTTATTTTGTACGTTGGCATTGAAAAGACTCCTGAGGCTATGTCTTTAACAGGGGCTTGAGTCTCTTTTGAAAAGGACACCGAGCACAGAGCGCTCTTAATCTTCTATTGATGTCCCTAAGAAGATGTTTAAAAAACTTATACCGTATGCCGGACACAGAATGTTGCAACTTGCTGTGCTATAAGTATTGTGTCCTTGAACCGATGCACAGACATTAAGTAGCAAGCATTGTGCAGTGGATGATAATAATTGCAGTATCACCTTGTTTACATGGCATCCTGCTGGTAAATACAAGTGATTGTATAACTACATGGGTTGTCATACTTGTATCATGTTGGTGGATTGCATCGATCGAACATGTTGCCGAGTTTGCAACCGTAGGATAAAAGGCAGGGGGAAATTTGAAAGAATTACTGTTTGGAAGGAACTAATTTAGTGTCTTGGATAGTAATGAGTACATGGAACAATTATCCAGATGAGCTGATAGCAGGAAATAAACTGGATCAAGGATACCCAAGCTGTAATGTGTAGCTTGTAGAGTCAATCATTGATTTCCTTTCTATATGTAGACGTATAATATTTTTTTCTGATATTTCCAGTAAGGATGGGTTAAAAAAAAAAAAAAAAAAAGTAGAACGATGGTATTGCACTTTCAAACAAGCGATACCCTCACACATAGCTTAGTAAGCCACCCCGTACAAGTTAAGAATAGCATAAGGTAAACATGTGGTTAATGTGCCATTAGCACGTGCACATAAGTAAAAATTACAATTACAAGAAACTATTCCAATGTTAATAGAAATTATGTTTTTGTTTTGAGAAATAATTACTTTTTGTACTCAGAGAATTCCAAATTCCGGTCAGTGGACATCAAAGACTAAATTGCTCCCCCTGCAGTGATGCTTCTAGACCCGAAACAAACTGCTATTAGAAAAGGCTATTTTTGAGCCGTAATCTGATCACAATCTTTTCTTTATATTTTCAAATGATCTTTTTCTACTGGGTTTTTTTTTTTCTAAACAATTGATTGAGCTATTTCTTGTCATGTCAGGCTTCTTTGTCATTACCGAAGTTAGTGCTGTATTTTCGATTTAATTTAATGTAAATCGATATTTATTCATTATGAGCGTATTTTTAATTTTACCATTATTAAAATGTACATATCTATATTTTCAGTGTTGAAAATACAAAGTAAAACAGACTAAACCACGTATTTAACTACAAACCTGTGGGTTGTGAGGCACATATTACTTAATATATATAAAACACAGATATTTCTCTTTTTAATCCAATACATTCTTCCATTCCATTTTTTTCCATTTATATATTTTATTACATATATATTTTTCTGTTCTTTTGATTTATTTTAAACTGTTACATCTCATAATATCTCAGTAGTGCATTTCATACATTTCACACATTTTGTAACTACTATTCATTCATATTTAGTAATTTTATATAGTATTGACAGATCTTGTCTGAACTAGCTGGCAGTAAATATAAAATATATAATAATTTTTTTATATAGATGCAACGAGCATTTAAAACACATGAAAAACCTTAACCTCGTTCACTGTTATCCTTTTGGCTTTAAAGCACATTTATTAATTATAGATTAATCATTAAAATCATGTTTTGTTTGTTTCATTTAGCTCTTCACTCTTGCTAGTCCTTCGATAACCTCAAATTATTAAAATGGAAAAAAAAAAAAACAATAATTGCACTTGTTAATTACTGGAACATAACCATCTAATGGGCCAATTGTAATACAACTTTATACATGTTTTCTATCTAATAGATCTCACCCGACTACATTTAGAAGAGTTTTTTTGTTTAGTTTTTTCAAATATAAACAAAGTTTTGCTGTTCTGAATTCCTTTTTAAATTTATGTATTTGTAGCATGTAGCCTGTTATTTTTTTTTTTTATATATATATTTTTTGTATTAAAAAAACCCCCCAAAACAATACAAATATTTATTGAGAAAGACAATTATCAAAATATAAATAATATAAAAAAATATAATTGTGAGACATTTCTAAGTAAAGAGCAAGTGGAACTAATATACATTTTGTAAAGCAGAGACGTGTCCCACAAACGATTCACATTCATTGTGGATTCAGTAGAGGAAAATCACCAGGTTATGAGGTGGAAGAGACTCGGGCATATAATTTATCTAGCTATAATATTGACAGACACTCGTTTGGCTTATGATCTAAGCAACTTGCAGATGAAAATCTTTCTCACGGTGTATAAAACCTCATGTTTCAGACCTCTGGGCTCACAGTGACTCCGCTCTCAGGTGCAGAATCTGCCACTGATACTGTTTGGTCAAATATATCAACGATGAACCCAAAAACAGAACTAACGAGTCTGTGTCAATAACAGGAGAAGACAAGTACTATGATTTCAGTTGGCAGGTGGATAATTCTTGATGGAACATGGGTAGTAAGGTCTCAGTATTCCATTCTAGAACTCACTACTTCTTTCATTTTCCGAGAAGGTTTACAAATTCCATGTTATGTTTGATTATAAACTAATATTCTGACGATGGCTGATGTATTAATCCTTTACATTACATCGTCCTGCTTAGCGGAATAGCTTGATGAACACTCTGATACCGAATCATATTCTACTTAGTCACTTCCCAAAATTCTCTGGCTTTTACCTATCGCAGGTAAATAAAAATACTTTAGTGGAGATTTTTCATTTTACCACTCAGAGAAAATGTGAATTTATTTCCCTAATATCTTCGCAATTAAATGAAAAAACAAAAACAAAACAGCAAGTATGGGTGTCATTTATTTTTTTTATTTTTTTACTTATTTGTAGTTTTGTGTATTTCTTTTATCCGTCTATGCAAAGAGAAGTCTCCTGTAATATTGAATTTTATTTAATTTATTTTGTTTGGCTTGGGTTAAGTAAATTTGCAAATGTATCGCATTAGTAGAAATGCCATCAAGACGTGAAAAAAGGCCCTTAACTTATGTAACAGAACAGGAAACAGAAATGTTGGAGAAAATACTTTAATGAAGATGCAATCAGATCCACTTAAAACGTGTGTATAATGATGTGTTAACGTTTTATTGCATGATTATTCATTGTTTACCCTCTGCTCTGGATCATATTTTATGGTGTAACCGGCATATTAAAACTATGTGAGAATAGGACTTGGGGTTGCCATCTTATTCACTTGCTAGCCGTGTTGCAATCCCTTTAACCCTTGTTTAATGCTCCTTGTGGTCAGTGTGGTGTTTTACAACTGCACAGATTTTTTGGCAATCTTTAATAAACATGACATTTTAAGTGAAGTCGCTGGGATAACATAGACCCTGAGTGATGACGATTAACCCTGCATGGGACTGGTGGCAGGACCCTGATTGCTTACTTTCTCCAGTTTCCAATTTCTCCCTGTGTATCCAAGACCGTTTGAAGCTATAGTATACCCATTGCTGTACCATAGCGTACCAATATTCTGAACATGTGTTATGTTTGCTATATGTTGATTTGCACTGTACATGTTAGAATTCCTTCCCCCAACATGTATGTTGTGTCTATACCAGCTGTATGTAACATTCCGATCCTTACTCTGCCAATGTCTCCCCACATGAATTTCTAGCACCTCGGTCTTTATTTTGTTTCCACCCTTATCCATTGAATGGTGAACGGTGTTGGATGTAGTAATTGCTAATGTTGATGCTTTGCCTCCCATATATACATTAAGGTCCCCCTCTAATATATTCTCCACACATGTTTTCCCCAAACCAGAAGCCTCAACATAATTGCTGTTACCTGGACAGCCATTGTAGAAACATAGAAACATAGAATGTGATGGCCTTATCTTATTTCTAGGATAGCCTTATGCCTATCCCACGCATGCTTAAACTCCTTTACTGTGTTAACCTCTACCACTTCAGCTGGAAGGCTATTCCATGCATCCACTACCCTCTTAGTAAAGTAATACTTCCTGATATTATTTTTAAACCATTGCCCCTTATATAAGATAAGACCAGGGACTAATGAAAATATTTAGAAAATTGGGCAGACTAGATGGGCCAAATGGTTATTATCTGCCGTCACATTCTATGTTTCTATGCCAATCTGGAAGATGGAGATTAATATATGTTGGGAAATACAGATATTGTAAACCCAATTATATATTTTTTGTTTGTCGCAAACATTTATCAATTCCAAAAAAACCAAAGAAGTTATGACAGCATTTATAATTTTAATTGATGTTACATTTTTCTTTGGTTTAATAGAGATATTTGTTTAATGGAATCTCTGTCAGTACTAAATCTCCTGCACTCTGGTTCTTGGTAAATCTCGGACTACAAGAGGTTAATGCCTCTGAATTAATGTTGATAAATCACTGTTTTAATGATTCAGAACTGACTCTTGTTGGGTTTTTCTTAATAGACCTTGTGATGGCCAGTGCATCTTCAGTCAGTGGTAAAGTAGGAGCTGGACCAGGTCGAGCAGCTTCCTCCAACCAGAAATGTTATACAAGGAGTTAAACCAGCTCTGCAGCTCCCTCCGGAGAAGACAAATACATAAACAGGTAAGAAAACCTTCCCCAGTCCCTCATTGTTAGGGGTGTTGACCCTCCCTACATGAAATATAATCTGCCTTTATTCTGCAGAATGAGGTTTCTCTGAAAAGCTTTAGTTCAGATCAAAGAATTCCGAGTGCCGAGGGATGAATGTAAACTGGACTCGGAGACAGAAACAAACTTTGTAAACAGAAATTCGGTGCAAAGTTCTAAAAGTAGAGCAATCACTGTGGATACCAAAGGAATCAGCAGGAACATCATATTAGTTGCCATGGTAATTACTCCACATTTAGAACTTTGACACATTTGTTGTATTGACAATAATTTTATGCTTCTCCCCCATGCATTCACGCTGACACACACCTAACACACACAGACACACAGACACACGGTCCTTTTCTGAGCACAATATGAACACTAAATACAAAATGTTCCTTTTCCTTTCGGGTCGTGCCGCGCTTTTTTAAGTGGATCCTGTCTGATGCAAGGCGCTGCTGTTGACTAGACAGGAAGTCTATCACTCCAGGGACCTCACCTCTTGTCTGTTCTGACTGTTGACACCCTGTCTAAACACTGCTTCACCCACAGGTCTCTCCCTACCTGGCCGTCATTCTCTCCCTTACTTTCCATCTGTGTGACAGCTGCTTGCGTTCGCAAGCCGGGAGCTGTCTGTCAGAGGTGATATTTTCAGGCATCTCAACTCCATAAAGGACCTTGGTATAAAATTCCCACCAGCTCTGATTAGGCTTTTTTTTTTGCAGGAATTATAGATATAGCGGGGTATTGTTTATTAACACCAAGGTCCCACATGCTTTTCAATGGTAAGACCGAAGTGTGCACGGTTCAAACAATTGCCTTTTGTTCTCGGTTCTGCAAACAAGCCCAGGATTCTGCAACGTTACAAGTATTTCTTCACCCAGAGAAACTCTATGATAAAAATTGTTCTTGTTCTGCACTTGAAAGATCAACATTTTAGAAGTGGAAATGTAAAATCATTTCATTTGGGAAGAACTGTCATTTGATTTTACCAGATGCTATCGCAACCAGCAACGTGTGAACCTGCCGTTACTTAATATTTTTACCAGCATTGTTAGAACCAATTGCACTTGTTAGTTTTATCATAAAATGTCCTGTTAGCAGAGCTGTGACTGCCTAAACTTGATTTCAGGTTTTAGGAGTCAGTTACCAAACAGACAACGATCAGGATGGTAGTTAGCCTGATAGAATGCAGGGGATGATGGTAGATGATAATTAGACCAGAGGAGTAAACAAATAAATGAAGGTAGCAACTAGCTCACTTGAGGGGACCTAAGAGGATCTGATAGTTGGTCATCAGATTGGTTGACGTGAACTAATTCTATTAGTGGAAGCAAGACATCTTGTTTAAAATGTGACATTGTGACCTAGTGAGATAATGCCCTGCAATGTGTGATACAATATTCATTATCACTTATCTCGCAAAATTACACATCGGGTTTTAAACAGAAACAGAAGTACGATTCTTCTCACATACAACAGGTGTGACAAAATAGATAAATAATAATGTTTAAGAACAATGCTTCAGGATATTTGTCCAAAATCGGACAGAAGTTTTCGGGAATGTGTCTTCCCAAAAATAGAAGAATGTAAAAATAATGTCTGTATATGGGCATTAAACATGCACATTATATAGTCACTTGTTTAAAACCAGTTTATTGAACGGGCCATACAGGCTGAGTGGTCAGAGACATTTCTATCTGATTCATTCTGGGCTGCGCAGGGCAGAATGAGCTTTAGAAACCTAGAGCGATTATTATTTTAAAAACACACACATGATCAAGGACGTTGCTAGGTTCCAGAAACACCAAAAGTTTGAGCCTAAAGCAAAATTGATAACCCCTATAATAAGAGAGTTGGGGCTAATTATCTCGTCTCTAACCATGAAGAACATGCTGATTATGCTCTCCAGGATAATGTAGCAACAACAAGCACATGCTACACATCCAGGTATTTAATAAGTTCTTGCCGTGCTACCTAACTAATAGAGGGGAGTGCAGGGTGGTCTTAACAACATTATGGGCCCCCGGACAAAGCAGTGCACTGGGACCCTGTCTACACAAAAACTCACAATAATAAAAATGTAAATTATAAAAAATTAGGCCTACAACAAAATCAGTATTTAAACATTAAAAAAAACATGCTGTACAGTAGAGATTATTCCACACAAGCATTTACTAGTATCGACCATTCTTTTTAAATTGGGTGGCTGCTTTGAGTAAAAGTTAAAATAACTCCCCCCCCCATTTAAATTCTCCTGCTCTCTCCACTACCTGCTGAGATGCGGGGCTAAACAGTCCCACATCTGGGGCTTTAGCCCCCAAAGCCTCCCCTGTAATGCTTATGGCCATGATAGATATTTAGTACTACGGAATTAATGTTTTCCTTGTATTTTTCTTCTTTTTTATTAGACTTGTAAATTTATATATTTTCATAAGACTGAGGAGTTCACTAACCCAGGAATTGTGTAGAGTATACAAGGGAATTATGCACCTTAAGTTAAAATAGCCAGGTTGGAACGATAACTGCTTTTTTTCAGTTTGGTAAAGTTGCCTTACCCACAAGGCAACTTAACCCACAACTTTGGTCAAAATGATTTGTCATCATGGCCTCTATATAATTTTGAATGAAATGCCTGTTAGTCGAGGAGAACTAGACAATTAGACAAGTGCAACAGCAGAGCTGAAGCAGGATGACAGGGGTCAATCTCAGGACATCGAGACAGGACCCCAAGTTTTCTTGATCCCTCCACATTTGGAACAGTAGGGAAGTAAGGTAGTCTGGAGGAGTATGTTCCAGCCAGAGATAATGCGGGATATTAGCACAGAGTGAAACATTCGTAAGACTAGATTAATTAATGATTTAATCAGATATGTGGAACGAAGATATTCCTTCATTTATCTGCTGATAGAAGCCTTAATCACCAGAGGTTCCATGCATTTTCTGAAAATTGTGTCAGCGGATTCCTTTTTTGAGTTCTAGCTTTGTAACATCACCATCTAGTGGGCAAATTCTAAAAAGCAGATAAACTTGACAATATTTTTTCCCTCTTCTATGTTCCTGGCTGTGAAATAACAAAAAACTTAAATTAGTAATTATCACAATTCATAAGTAAATATAAGGTGGTCATATTTTTAGAAATTGTCACAAAAAAAGTTTATAACCAGAGGATTGAAAAAGGGACTTTAAGGGATGAGTACCAATGTATAATTGTTACAATAAATTGAGGTAAGGTTTAGCTTAAAGGAACATTCCAACTGAAAATATTTATTGTATTTTTTTTTTTTACAATTTTGTAGATTTATCCCCCCAAAAAATATGCTTACATTGGAGTATATCTAAAAACGGCTTACAAATGCAGCAGATCTCTTGTCTGCAACCTTTACAAGCCATCCCCTTCTAACCCCGCCCAGACTTTCTGTGGCTGTCCAATCACAGACTTCCCAATGCATCTCAATGAGAAATCTTTGCAAGGCAGGTGCTCTGAACAATTACTGCCTCTTTAGTTTAGTTCCACTGATCCAACAAAACCAGAAAGTAACAGGATTGGTTGTCTGATTGACAGCTAGGGAGGTGCAATCTGCACTTTTTGTTAAATGAAAAAAAGAGGACACACCCATCACACATAACATAGGATAAAACAACAATTATATCTATAAATTGCTGTTCAAAGGTATTCAACAACATTGACAAACTTTTTAATTTACTTGTTCATCTATACAGAGCAGGATTTAAATAAATACAGGGATTAATATTCAGTGATAATAAGAAACAACAGGGATTAGATTAGAGTAACAGTAATAAAATAACTAACAGATAGAACCAGCAAGCCAGTTAATCATATAGTCTTACAGAAAGGAAGAACACATTATATGACTGCAGTGAGTACACGTGCAACAGCTCCACCTACTGTCCAGTCTCACATACACACTCACTTTACATGACAAATATTACTGCCCTTCCCACAATATGCTGGCATTTCTGGAAATTTAAAGTTCCAAAAAGTCATTGAGCTGTTTAAAAATGTCTGCAAATGTCTCCATATTCCCTACTAAGGTTATCATGGGGCTTCTAGCTCTGTAGCTGTTTATAGGAAAACCATCCTGTCATCACAGAAAAGTAAAAAAACAAACAAAAAAACAATAATAATAATAATATTTAAAGATTTTAAAAAGGAATGATCACTTCACAGATATTTATTAACATTATATTTAGTTATCCATATATGTAACAAATATTAATTTCTTGAAGTGTGAAAAATAAGATTAAATGTAGAAAACCTCAGCTCTTTATCCTGTAACTGGGTGTCTCCATCTTGGCTCCCTGTCAGCCATTGTTATACGCTCTGTCCTGTAACTGGGCGCCTCAATCTTAGCTCCCTGTCAGCCCTTGTTATACGCTCTGTCCTGTAACTGGGCGTCTCCATTTTAGCTCCCTGTCGGCCATTGTTATACGCTCTGTCCTGTAACTGGGCGTCTCCATCTTAGCTCCCCGTCAGCCATTGTTATACGCTCTGTATCCTGTAACTGGGAGTCTCCATCTTAGCTCCCTGTCAGCCATTGTTATACGCTCTGTATCCTGTAACTGGGAGTCTCCATCTTAGCTCCCCGTCAGCCATTGTTATACGCTCTGTATCCTGTAACTGGGAGTCTCCATCTTAGCTCCCTGTCAGCCATTGCTATACGCTCTGTCCTGTAACTGGGTGTCTCCATCTTGGCTCCCTGTCAGCCATTGTTATACGCTCTGTCCTGTAACTGGACTTCTCCATCTTAGCTCCCCGTCAGCCATTGTTATACGCTCTGTCCTGTAACTGGGCGTCTCCATTTTAGCTCCCTGTCGGCCATTGTTTTACGCTCTGACCTGTAACTGGGCGTCTCCATCTTGGCTTCCTGTCAACCATTGCTATACGCTCTGTCCTGTAACTGGACTTCTCCATCTTAGCTCGCCGTCAGCCATTGTTATACGCTCTGTCCTGTTACTGGGCGCCTCCATCTTAGCTCCCTGTCAGCCATTGTTA